GGAGCAGAGCGGGGACAAAACACAGCGGAGTCAGATTGCACACCCAGCCCTGCACCACCTCCAGGGAAGGTAAGAGGGAGGAAATGAGGATGGAGCATGATTGGGGGTGTGGGGATGAGTGCGCGGTTGCCAGGCAATACATGTGTGTATGTGGATGTCATGCTTGGCAGGAGCTGTAGCTCCATGTTGCAGAATGACCTACTTTAAATCGAAAGGGAAAGAAAGAGCGAATGGAGGGACAGAGAGTGGGAGAGGAAACAAAGCGTGGAGCAGCCGAGCAGGTTCTCTAGTTAAGACCGAAAATAAAAGAGCAAGAGGGAGAGAGAGTGATGGGACAAAGAGAAAGAGAGCTGATAAAGAATTAAAATGATGTTCGGGAGTGAGTCAAGCCAGAGAGGAGAGATGAAACAAAGAGAGAGCAGGAGAAAAATGCAAAGTCGTTTGAGTCAAATACATGGACTAAATCTGTGCTTCTAATCAGAATATCTGACAAAAAGACGTCCAAGTACTCAGTCTTTCCGACAGAAGGTTACTTCCTTTAGGTTTAAAAACGTTGAAAAACACTGAAATGTATCCTTGAAACTCAGCAGCATTCAGACTGCTTCTTCTGTAGCACAGTATGCTGGAATTATAATAAAGAAATGACTTGCAGAGCATGCTAATGTCACATTTGGGGGATTCAATTGCATGCAAGCATTATCAGCCTAAGGGTACAGATTACTAATTTGTAAGAGGATATACTAGCAGTGATTACAATAGTCATACTGTACATATTCACAATTCTCAAGATAAAAATAGCAACACTGCTCAGTACAGACCTTTGTTTTGTGAACAACATAGTTTTGAGGAATAAGCATAAATCTTATCTCACATGCAGCTGCTTTCTGACTGACCAAGAACTCAGCTCCTGAAGTGTACTTGTTACCATATAGGGAACTAGTAACCAGTGTTCTTAATACATATAACATATACACATAAAACCTCAACACAGCAGACCTTTGTTTGTTCTGACATTATTCTACTATCTACACAATTTAGCCATTAACTTAGTGGGTGTTTCTGTAACCATGACGATGAAGGTTCCCTAACAAAAGTAGTCAATTTAACCCCAAATGTTTCTTTACCCTTTACAGTCATCAAAGATTCAAAAAGTATGTTTTCCTATATTTATATTTGAGTTGTAGTAGTTTGGCATATCAATAATGTATTGTAATGTATTTTTCATATTGTGTATTGCACTCCAAAGCTTTAAAGCTATCTTCGGGTGTTATAGATATCTTCAGTAGACGCTAGTCAGTTAGCATGCTAACTTTAGTAGAAGCCTCTGCAACACAATACAGAGACATAACAGTAACACTGTAACCTATTTACAAACTGATTGCATTCCGGCTTTAATCAAAGCATTTTGGAAGGTAAATGATGTTGATAAACTATGTTCTAAAGAGCAATTACAGAACTATTTCTTTTTGTAATTTCATTCAGAGCAAATGGAAAGTAAATGTTGAGTTATGTTGGACCTATCTCACAGCAGACATTGTGCTTTATGGTCCACCTCAATGGAACAGACCCAACACAAAGGTTATTTGTCACATCTGCGCTTATCCAGTTATGCCTAGTTCAAGTATCCTTCATGGAAAATGGTCTACAGTTTATGATTGCACATTCAAAAACCACACTACTGTGTGAGGCTACAAACAGCTCCATGAGATGAGCCAACATTACATTTCAAATCAGTCATTGCATCATATGTATCATATCAGATGCCAGCTTTTAATCAAAGATCAAAATCAGTAATGAACTGTGTATCAGCCTAGCCCAGGGCTCTGCAACCTTTTTGACCAAAAGGGCCATTTTGCCCCCTTTTCCACCAATTGTTTTTGTCTGGAGCCGCTAAACATATTTGATAGCTTGATAGCTTATAAAGTTATATTGTTACATCATAGACAAAAACTACAGTTTTTTTGCATTTATTATTTATTACATTATATAAAACTGTTTACCTCTAATAATAAACAAACAACTGTTATAAGGAGAATTTAAAAAAATACACAGGACTACTTTAAAATAAATCAACACAGCACTTGGGGAGTCCTCTGAACATTTGAAGAAAATGAATGTAATTCAAATGGGCCCACTTTGAATGAAATAAAACGATAGTTACGTCTGTAACTACGGTTCTATGAGTCCCGGATGACCGCCAGAGGCGGTGCTTTAGCACTGGATATGTCCATAGCGCGCATGCGCCGTACGAGTACCAATAACAACAAAGTCACCTGTGACCCACGTGACACCGGCTATATCAGCCAGTGTCATCAGAGGATCTGTTCCCAGAATCTTCTCGAGAGCACACAATAATTCTGAGTGACAGGAAACTCTGGCGGTCATCCGGGACTCATAGAACCGTAGTTACAGACGTAACTACGTTCTATTTCGTCCCTACTGACCGCCAGAGGCGGTGCTTTAGCACTGGATGAGTTATACCAACCATGTCATGAAGAAACCAATACTCACCTAGCTGGAAGCAGCGGAGCTTGGCAACAGGACCACGCCCAAAGGATGGCGGGTGGTGACATTGACCCGGTAGAACCTGGAGAATGTGCCAGAAGACGCCCACGACGCTGCGGCGCAGATGGTCTCCAGGGGCACTCCTCTCAGGGCGGCCCAAGACGTTGAGACGTTCCTTGTAGAGTAGCATCTCACCCCTGATGGCAGGGGGCGGCCACTGGCCCCATAGTCATGTGCGATTGTATCAACAACCCAGTGGGACAGCCACTGCTTGGAGAGAGCAGTTGATACAATCGCACATGACTATGGGGCCAGTGGCCGCCCCCTGCCATCAGGGGTGAGATGCTACNTTTATACTTTTGTAGCACATACTATTTGTATATAATGG